GACTTGATTCCAGGATCCTGGGATCATGACCTGAGCTGAAGGCAGAGGTTTAATGGACTGAGCTACCCAGGCACCCTAGGCAGATAATGTTCTTAATGGTGAGAGGGGGTGGGCAACTGGAGTTTGGACTCTGTGGCGTAGCAAGTCCTTAACCTAGTTTTCCTGGGTGCTGTGTTTGTGTCTCCAAAGACTGCATGACCAAGACTTACTTCCCTAAGCCTCAGTTTCCCTACCTGAAGCTTGATCCTTTCCCCCTAACATTTCCTTTGGGTTATAGTAACGAATGGGAGAATTCACTGGAAGCAGTAAAACTTGGGGTTGTCCAGGCCTCTCTCTTTTTTTTTTTTTACATTGGGCAAGTTATTTAACTTTTCTTTTTAAAGATTTTGTTTATTTATTTGACAGAGAGAGAGCACAAGCAGGCGGAGCTGCAGAGAGAGGGAGAAGCAGGCTCCCCACTGAGCAGGGAGCCCGATGTGGGGCTCGATCCCAGGACCCTGGGATCATGACCTGAGCTGAAGACAGATGCTTAACCTACTGAGCCACCCAGGCGCCCCTTGTCCAGGCCTCTTAATGCCTGCCTGGAGTCTAGAGCTCAAGTCACCAGGATGGGCGGGGCTCGGATCTGGGAGGCCCAGGAGTCCAGCCTGCCCAGCTGTGTTTAAGCAACTGACCTAGCAACAGGGTAGGCCTGACAAACACGTCTGGTCTTCCGGAGTCTCATCTGCTGTCTGTATCTTCAGGCCACTATGGCCCTGCTCAGGCCCCCGGCGCTTCTGCTTGCTCTGGTTGTCTCTGGTGAGGAGCCGGTGGGTGGGGGAACCCCAGTTCTCATGCCCCAACACACTCCACAGTGGAGTGGAATCGTGACTCTTCTCGGATAAGCTACCATGCAGGGCAGGGGCTGTGGGAGAGCCAGGGAAGGGCAAAGATCTAACTCCCTGACCCTCATTCCTTATCGTGGCTGCTTCCTCAACCAAGTCTTCACTCCCGTTCTGCTCAATGTGCTGAGCCCTGGTTGGATGTGGGGGACAAGGAAGAGTTATGGCTGCTTGGCCCCGAGATGCGACCTGGCCCTGAGGCTGAAGGGCTCATCTATGTGGTTCCACGAGCCTGGGGGGCCTCCAGCCTGAATTGTCTCTTTCTCACAGAACTCCATTGCCTGCCCTGGTTCATAAATGTCTCTGAAAGCCAGGGACCTGGCACCGTCATTCATTCCTTCTCCTTCAACTGCACTGCTCACATGCCCGTCCTGGAGTTGGTCCATGTGCAGCCACCCACCACCTTCTTCAACCAACCCAGCTTGAGCAGGTGGCAGAAGATCTATGTAGGCATGGTAGGGTCATGGGCCCAGATGGGAACCATGGGGAGGCAAGGGCAGGCCCTTAATTCACCAAGCCAGAGGTAGTGTAGGGGGATGGAGCGCCTAGAGTCCCATATGACACTGCCCATCTGCCACAGGTGACCTTAAGCAGCTCGGCCCGGCTGGACGCCCTAGCGGTGAGCC